CTTGGTCTTTTATACTGGGAAGTATAGCAAAGCTAAAATCATTATGAAAAAGCTCTGGAAATTCAAAACAATCGTTAGGTCCAAATCATGTTCATGTCGCTGCGTCTTTAAACAATCTTGGTAATGTGTTTTATAAAACTGGAAACTATGACAAAGCTATAGAGTTTCACGAAAAAGCTCTGGAAATTCGAAAACAATCGTTAGGTCCAAATCATGTTGATGTCGCTACGTCTTTAAACAATCTTGGTTCGGTGTTACGTGAAACTGGAAACTACGACAAAGCTATAGAGTTTTACGAAAAAGCTCTGGAAATTCAAAAACAATCGTTAGGTCCAAATCATGTTGATGTCGCTAAGTCTTTAAACAATCTTGGTGTGGTGTATTATGAAACTGGAAACTACGACAAAGCTATAGAGTTTCACGAAAAAGCTCTGGAAATTCTAAAACAATCGTTAGGTCCAAATCATGTTTATGTCGCTGCGTCTTTAAACAATCTTGGTTTGTGTATTATTAAACTGGAAACTACGACAAAGCTATAGAGTTTCACGAAAAGCTCTGGAAATTCGAAAACAATCGTTAGGTCCAAATCATGTTGATGTCGCTGCGTCTTTAAACAATCTTGGTTTGGTGTATTATAAAACTGGAAACTACGACAAAGCTATAGAGTTTCACGAAAAGCTCTGGAAATTCGAAAACAATCGTTAGGTCCAAATCATGTTGATGTCGCTGCGTCTTTAAACAATCTTGGTTTGGTGTATTATGAAACTGGAAACTACGACAAAGCTATAGAGTTTCACGAAAAGCTCTGGAAATTCGAAAACAATCGTTAGGTCCAAATCATGTTGATGTCGCTATGTCTTTAAACAATCTTGGTTTGTGTATTATAAAACTGGAAACTACGACAAAGCTATAGAGTTTCACGAAAAAGCTCTGGAAATTCGAAAACAATCGTTAGGTCCAAATCATGTTGATGTCGCTATGTCTTTAAACAATCTTGGTTTGGTGTATTATGAAACTGGAAACTACGACAAAGCTATAGAGTTTCACGAAAAGCTCTGGAAATTCGAAAACAATCGTTAGGTCCAAATCATGTTGATGTCGCTGCGTCTTTAAACAATCTTGGTTTGGTGTATGATGAAACTGGAAACTACGACAAAGCTATAGAGTTTCACGAAAAGCTCTGGAAATTCGAAAACAATCGTTAGGTCCAAATCATGTTGATGTCGCTATGTCTTTAAACAATCTTGGTTTGGTGTATTATGAAACTGGAAACTACGACAAAGCTATAGAGTTTCACGAAAAGCTCTGGAAATTCGAAAACAATCGTTAGGTCCAAAT